ATCCCAGGAACAGAGTCAAAAAGTGGTTATCTGTCAAGGAAGTACAACCATGAGTTCGATAGAGGATGAAATTGCACCTAGGCAAACTAGAGAATGCCTTGGCAAGAAAGTGTCCTTGCAAAGAGCCCTAATAACCCAGGAGCCATGGCCAACCGCTCTAGCAATTCGCCACCGAAGAGGTGGCTCGAAGAAAGGCCCAAGCTAGCAGCGAGGCTCACTAGGGAATTGGCCACCATCGCCGCAAACATGAGAGCCATCTCCCGATAAAACACTCAATGGAAGAACCGCAAAGGCATGTGCAAGTTCAATTGGCCAACTCACAAAACAACGAGGTTATGACGCCAAAAAGGGAGGTGGATGTGGATATGGATATGGATGACAACTACGCCACCAACCAAATAATCGAGGAGACTGTCGTTCCGTCAAAATATAGTAGGGTAATCACGCCAAGGGGGTTGGCTAGTGTCTTTGATAGACTTGGTCCTATAAGGAGCAGGCAGATTAGACCCCGCATTTTGCACGTTCAAACCAGACTCCCTCCTATCCCCTTGAGCCAGCCACATCTGTCCAACCCTCCATCATTGGAAAGCCAGCATGTACAACCTCAACCAGAAACTGCAACTGAGCTCGCCCCTAGATACATGCATTCCTCACCTAGGAATAGGTGTGAAAGACAAGCTATACTAACTTGGATGCGGAACAACCCAGATTGACCACAAAAGGAGAAACATATAAGCCCAAGGAAATGTTCATCCAAAAATCGGCCATTTCAAGCAAAGCCCTTTTGTTAAAAGAGTACTAAGACATATAATTGTCGGTTCGAACTCCATAACTTCGGCAAACATGAGCCAACCTCGCAGTAGATCAATAAATCAAGGGCACAAGCCTTACAAAAAATGATCTATTGTCTTCTCCATCCCATCCAAAAGATGTGGTTAGGGACGAAAGTTTTAAGAACTACTCCTTGAGAAAGATAGAAGGCCTCGCCCAAGAAGATGAGCTCCAATTTTGGCCATCTCGGGCTAAATCCTCTTATGAAAAGAGGCGCTAAGGCATATAATTATCGAGGCTGGCCCTATAACGTCAGCCAATAAGAGTTGACCTCTCGGTAGATTAATGTAGAAAAAGGTGCGATCTGCTATCTTCTTAAGCTAAAGCAGCTCAACCATAAGCCTCATAGAATTATATTATCTGCAGAAGCTTTGGCTCAAAATGTGAAGGCCGACCCTCCTATTGTTAATGGGCTAAAGACTTTGATCCCATCCAAAGAGGCTAAACGAGGAGGATCAGAATAGATCAAAGAGAGCATGGCTCCACCTTATGTACAGCCTCAAACCGAACAATGTACTTGAAAAAAAGTCTGTTCAAAGAAGAGGCGAAGAAGAACCACCTCAACAGAACTGCCCTATATAGAAAATGATAAGGGAGGACCACATAAGGACCACCCCATAAATATGCGAGTTCCCTTTGACCAACTGTAGAGGAGGACCATGCATGAGCCGTCAGCTTAGCTTCACGAAATCAAAAGAAAATCGATTACAAGTGTTAAAACTTCGACCTGGGCGACAGGATAGACCTTCTTGCCTTAGAAAAATATATACATATATAACAAGCCATAGAGCTTCGGAAAAAACAGGGACCTCGGCTCTCTTCAAACTGTCTGAAGTAAACAGTTTCGGCCTATAACTTCAACTTCTTCGAGGCCAAAGACCTAGCCTACTTCAAGGCTTCAGACAACGTTCACAATAAGTGCCTATGCAAAATTCACTTTTAAGTCCCCAATATGTGAATATCTATGTCGGATTTGGGGACTAGTATGATTACTGTTAGTCTGCATGTCACGTTATGGCTAGCTTACTTCATGACTCATGACATCATTTTTACTAGCACTAGTATACATGTCGCATTACATACACCATCATCAGGCATATGCCTTGTTGCGATACATGATAGGCTTCTTGTATATCGTATCTTAGAAAAGTGTGAGATGCCATTTATAAGTATTGGGAAGGGAAAAATGGGCCCTGTGCCTATTTGTTAGTGGACTGGTTTAATCAACATTACAGAGAAGAGGCCGTCGAAATTTCAACAAAATATATGACATGTTCCGAGGCAATTCCTTTAAAGGAATAAAAGAAAATAGCCTAAGAGGCACTCCTATGCAAACTAACCTAAGAGGCATTAGCCTACGGAGGCACTTCAAAATATATCAGCTTAAAAGATTGTCAACGAAGGTTAGCCGAAAAGAGTCACCTTAATAAAAAGAGCTACACCCCAAGGAGGGCCACCTCCAAAAATGAAAGGCCTAAAAGGAACTTGAAAAACGAGCTGGAACTCGAAGAGCACACCCAATCACAAAACAGTAACAATTTCGAGCTCAAACACAAAAATTTGCATAAAAAGACAGAAATTTTATTCATTACTACGAACACATTACAACTGAGGTGATCAGCCACTTACAAAGCATTACAAAGCACTTAGTAAAATAAGTAAAAAAATAGAAATACAAGGTGCAACTATTACATCAGATATACAATCCACCGGACCTCTCCCTTTTGAGGGGTGTCTACCATATACAGCAATCTTCACAACTACGAGATCTACCGGACCATGTTGAAACTCAAGCTACGACTACAATACACTTTACCTAGTACGCTCCGACAGAGGGATAGCCTAGTGATGAGTGTAATTCACTCATTAAACTAGAGCTTCTAAATCACGTTTTTTGATTTGTTCTTGGGCATTTTTGAACGTTTTGATGTGTGTGTTCGTGTTGTTTTGCAGTTTGGACAACTCTCGAGAAAATACCACTATTGGGAGCCTGTGATGAGCAAAAATGATGATCAATGAAATGGACCATGAATAAGCAAGTATTGAATAAGATTGGAGTGGAAAATAGGCTTGGAAAACAGAGTGAAGAGAAGCAAAGTAGTGGTACTGGCGCCACGGCGCCGAAAAAGGGACGCCATGGCGCCCAAAAGAGTTCAAACCAGCAGTAACACTAGCGCCATGGCGTCCAACAAAGAGGAAGCAAAGCAGAAACACTGGCGCCAGACTCGGGTGCCATGGCACCAGTTAACATTATCATCGTAGCGCCATGGCACCAAACTTGGGTGCCGTGGTGCCAAATCCCGAAACAATAAAACCCAAATTTGTAATTATCTTTTCGGCCCAAAAATCATACCCTAACCATTGAGGATTCTTAGAAAATATAAATACCAAGATGAAGACCAAGTTTAGGGGTGGAGACGGCTGAAGAGGCAAGAGAAAAAGAAGCACCAATTGAGAGAAGATTGACCCGATTTTGGAAAAGAAGCAGGCAAAAAACTGAGAAATCAAGTAACAAGACTGAGAAATAGAGCAGCAACTTGAGTTTTTTTTTTCTATCTTTCTCTTATCCATGCACTCTATTTTGTATTTCATTGCAATTTTATTCTCCACTATGAACTAAACTTTTAAATCTAGGGTTTGATATAACCTATTTGAGACATAATTTTATTTCTTTATAGTATTCCCATTGATTTTTCCAGAATTGATTTGTATTGTTCTTACATAATGCTTTCAGTTGCCTGATCACCAATTGAATGAATTGTTGCTCTAAATTTATTGCTCGAGAGAGGGAAATTTAGGCGTTATCTAAGAACAATATAACTTGGATTTGTAGGTTTTGAGAGAGTGCAAATCTTTGAGGGTAAAACAAGGACCAAGTGCTTGATAATCTTTATATATTTAATTTGGAATAGAGATATTGGGATTAAAATATAGAGATAGGTTCTATTTGACGTTCGAGAGAAGGAAATAGAATTAATTCCGGATTCTTGCCTATTAATTTGGGAAATAGTTGATAGGAATATCTATAGGGGTTGAGAATTATGTCGATAATATGGTGAAATCACTCCCTAGACATTACATAATTCTGATCCAATCTTTAAAAAATTGCTTCATGTTCGTTGTGTTATTTAATTCATCGACATTAGTTTAATATTCAAACATCAATTTAATATCAGATTGTCTAGATAAAGTAAACGTGGACACAATTATAGTATTCAGTAGAAGTCGAATATCAATCCCTGTGGGTTCGACACTTTTCAATTCCTTAATGTACTACAAAATTTGACACCGTACGCTTGCGGTTAAATCACGTTACATAAAACTTGTGACAAGTTTTTGGCACCGCTGCCGGGGATTGATTCATTCGATTTCAATTGATATTATTACCAACTAGCGTTCATTTAACTTTAGATTGTTATTTCTATCGTAATATTTAATTTAGTTTTATTCTTTTTTTGTCTATCTTTAAAAGCTTCATTGTGGTTATTTTCACCTGTTTATGCGAAGGGCGAGAAATCTATATCTACTACCTGTTGATCCTGAACCAGAATGCACATTTTGCATTCTCAGAGGCATACAAAGAAATGAACGGGAAGCAATGGCAGAACAGGATGCTAGAGCAGCCAATGAGGATAACCAACAAAGGGCTATTCGGGACTACATAAGACCAATTGTCAATGACAACTATTTCGGCATCGCACGCCCAACAATTGCGGCAAACAATTTCGAATTGAAGCCAAGATTGATACATATGGTGCAGCAAAATCAGTTTGGGGTGCTGCAATAGAAGACCCAAATGCTCATCTTGGATCCTTTTTGGAAATTTGTGACACGGTGAAGATGAATGGGGTTAGTGAAGATGCAATTAGACTCCACCTATTCTCATTCTCTTTAAGGGATAAAGCAAAGGCTTGGTTCCAGTCACTACCGTATGGCTCAATTACAACTTGGGATGATTTGGCTCAGAAATTCCTCACCAAGTACTTTCGACCTTCTAAATCAGCTCAACTTCGCGGTGAAATTAGCCAATTCAAACAACTCGACTTCAAGCCATTCTATGAAGGCTGGGAAAGATTTAAAGACTTGCTTAGGAGATGTCCTCACATTGGTTCCAGAAATGGGTGCAAATTGAGATATCTTATAATGGGCTAAATGGGCAGACAAGGACTATGGTAGATGCAGCCGCGGGAGGCATTTTAATGGCTAAAACAACAGAGGCTGCATATGCTTTATTGGATGACATAGCCACCAACAGCTACCAATGGCCAAGTGAGGGATCGGGTGTAAAGAAAGTGGCAGAATTTCATGAAGTGGATCCCATCACAGCACTAGCAGCTCAGGTTGCATCACTCACAAATCAGATAGTCATGCTTACCACTCAAGGAAATCAACAGAAGGTAGATTCAGTCATGAGTACTTCTTCATCACACCAAGAGACAGAGGTTGCAAATGAGCAGGCCCAATATGTCAACAGTAGAAACTACAATCAAAGAGGAAGTTACCAAGCCAATCACTATCATCCAGGGTTGAGGAATCACGAGAACTTGTCATATGGCAACAATAGAAACACACTTCAACCTCCACCCGGATTCAACACTCAAAATTCTGACGGGAAACCACCCTTGGAAGACATTCTTGGGACATTCATTTCTGAGACAAGATCACGCTTCAACAAAGATAAATCACGGTTGGATAATATTGAAACACATGTGTCCAACATGGGAGCCACAATGAAGAATCTTGAAGTGCAAATTGGTCAGTTGGCTACCTCAATGAAGTCTCAGCAACAAGGAAAATTTCCAAGTGATACAGAAGTCAATCCAAAGGAGCACTGTAAAGCCGTTATATTAAGGAATGGCAAGCAAGTTGGAGAAAGTGAACCCACCGAAGAAAGCAACCCCACACCTGATAAGGAGAAAGAACAAGTAGTATAAGAGCAAGAAAAGCAAGCCAAAGGAACAAATAAAGCTCACAGACCTTACTCCATATCCTTCCCTGACAACCCACCAATTCTCACACCACCACTTCCATTTTCACGGCGTTTTCAAAAGAAAAAATTTGATGATCAATTTGCAAAATTTTTAGAAATTTTCAAGAAAATTCACATTAATATTCCTTTTGTAGATGCTTTGGAACAAATGCCAAATTACACAAAGTTTATGAAGGAAGTGATGTCAAAGAAGCGAAAATTGGAGGAATATGAAACGATAAAATTGACAGAAGAATGCAGCGCTATTCTTTAAAAGAAACTTCCTCAGAAGAAAAAAGATTCGGGCAGCGTCACTATTCCATGCACCATTGGAAGCTCTTCCTTTGAAAATGCCCTCTATGATTTAGGAGCAAGCATCAACCTAATGCTGTTATCAGTATTCAAGAAGTTAGGCCTCGAAAAAGTCAAGCCAACAACAGTGACTCTACAACTAGCTGATAGGTCCCTCACTTACCCACGAAGTATTATTGAAGACGTGTTAGTAAAGGTCGACAAATTCATCTTCCCAACTGATTTTGTGGTACTGGATATAGAAGAAGATCAAGAAATCCCACTAATTTTAGGCAGGCCATTTTTAGCAACTGGAAGAGCATTAATTGATGTACAAGGAGGACATTTGACATTGAGAGTAAATCAAGAAGAGGTGAGGTTCAATATCTATCAAACAATGAAGTACTAGGACGACACTGACACATGCCACAGGACTGGCTTCATTGATTCTGCTGTGCGCGATGAGAAATTATATATTGAAGATCCCTTGGAGCAGTGTATGATGTTTAGTTCAACAAAGGATGAAATCAGCTCTTTTGGAGAATATGCAGGGAACAAAGACCTAGTTGATTGCATATTGGCTCTAAAGTCTACACCAGTTGAAAACAACCTGTCACAGTGTGAAGATATTCAACAATCAGAGGAATTAGATGATAAAGAAAGCAGCGAAAGTAGTAAGATTGAACTGAAGCAATTACCAGATCACCTCCGCTATGCATTTCTGGGAGACAATTTTGCATTTCCAGTGATCATTTCTTCATCACTCACCAGGGACGAAGATGACTGATTATTGAAAGTGTTGAGGGATCACAAGGCTGCTTTGGGCTGGTCGATAGCTGACATCAAGGGGATAAGTCCTATAGTCTGCATGCATAAAATCCTCATGGAAGATTCTTGCAAGCCTTCCATCGAACACCAGAGAAGGTTAAACCCAGCAATGAAAGAAATGGTTCGAGCGGAGATACTAAAGCTATTGAAGGCAGGAATCATTTTTGCCATTTCAAATAGTGAATGGGTTAGCCCAGTGCAGGTGGTACCAAAGAAAGGAGGGATGACAGTAATTAAGAACGACAACAATGAGCTAATTCCAACTAGAACAGTAACTGGCTGGAAGGTGTGCATTGACTATAGGAAGTTGAACAAGGCAACTAGAAAGGATCATTTCCCACTCCCGTTCATCGATCAAATGTTGGACAGATTAGTTGGCTACTCCTAGTATTGTTTTCTTGATGGATATTCGGGCTACAACCAGATCGCTATAGCACCAGAAGATCAAGAAAAGACAACTTTCACCTGTCCTTATGGAACTTTTGCTTATAGACGGATGCCATTCGGGTTATGTAATGCACCGGCCACTTTTTAGAGATGCATGATGGCAATCTTTGCAGACATGGTTGAGGACATTATGGAGGTATTTATGGATGACTTTTCAGTGTTTGGTACTTCTTTTGATAACTGCATTCACAATCTCTCCTTAGTGCCGCAACGTTGTGAGGACAAGAATTTAGTTCTAAACCGGGAAAAGTGCCACTTCATGGTACAAGAAGGAATTGTGCTAGGCCACCATGTTTCAGCAAGGGGACTAGAAGTGGATAGAGCAAAAATTGATACAATTGCAAAGTTACCACCACCCACCAATGTCAAAGGCATTTGAAGTTTCTTAGGGCACGCTGGATTCTACAGGAAATTTATCAAAGATTTCTCAAAAGTGACAAAACCCCTATGTAATCTTTTAGAGAAAGACACAACATTCATATTTGATGGAGATTGCTTACTGGCTTTTGAAACCATAAAGACAAAATTAGTCACTGCTCCAGTGATGGTAGCACCAGATTGGGATAAGTCATTTGAGGTTATGTGTGATGCCAGTGACTACACAGTAGGGGGTTTTGGGACAAAGGAGTGATAAGATTTTTCAGGCAATCCACTATGCCAGCAAAACTCTTAATGGAGCTCAACTAAATTACACCACAACAGAGAAGGAAATGCTAGCAGTAGTGTTTGCATGTGATAAATTCATATCCTACCTCATTGGCACCAAAGTGATAATTTACACGGACCATGCAGTAATCCGTTATCTCTTTGAAAAGAAGGATGCCAAGCCACGCCTAATTCGATGGATATTGCTACTACAGGAAGTTGATGTAGAGATTTGGGATAAGAAAGGCAGTGAGAATGTGGTTGCAGACCATCTCTCATGGTTAGAGAATGAAAAGGTGGTAGATGACAGTCAAATTCGAGAAACTTTCCTTAACGAGATCTTGCTAACTGTATCAACAAAGATCCCACGGTATGCTGATTTTGTTAATTACTTAGTGTTTGGAAGATTGCCACCTGACTTGACCTTTCATCAAAAGAGGAAATCCCTCCATGACGTCAAGTCATATCTATAGGATGATCCAATATTGTTCAAAAGATGTGCTGATAGAATAATCAGGAGGTGTTTCCTTGGTGAAGAAACATAATCAATCATGCAGCATTGCCACTCTTCACTTTATGGAGGTCATTTCGGTCTCACGCGTACTGCTGCAAAGGTATTGCAATCCGATTTCTATTGGCCGAATCTGTTCAAAGGCTGCTATGCTTTTGTGAAGACATGTGACCGTTGTTAACGTACTGGAAACATTTCAAGGCATCATGAGCTACCATTAACTAATATGCTTGAGGTGGAATTTGATGTGTGGGGTATCGACTTCATGGGTCCGTTTTCATCTTCTTTTGGTCAGGCATACATTCTCCTTGCAGTTGACTATGTATCTAAATGGGTTGAAGCCATTGCTACACCAACAAATGATGCAAAGGTGGTTTTGAGGTTTCTACAGAAAAATATCTTTACTCGTTTTGGCACGCCCAGGGCAATAGTAAGTGAGGAAAGTACACGTTTCTGTAACAAACTGTTCAATTCTCTTCTAGCTAAGTATAATGTTAAGCACAAGTTGGCACTTGGTTATCATCCACAGCCGAATGGGCAAGCAGAGGTGTCTAACAGAGAGATTAAACAAATTTTGGAAAAGACAATAAATACCAATCGAAAGGACTGGTCTCTCAAACTGGACGACGCTCTTTGGGCATACCCAACTACCTTTAAAACACCAATTGGAATGTTACCCTACCGTCTGGTATTCGAAAAAGCTTGTCATCTGCCGGTGAAATTGGAGCATCGAGCTTATTGGGCTGTGAAGAAATTAAATTTAGATATGAAATTGGCTAGTTCACAACGCTTGTTGCAGCTTGATGAGTTGGAGGAATTCCGGAATGATGCATACGAAAATGCAAAGATATACAAGGAACGAACAAAAATGTGGCATGACAAAAGAATCCTAAGGAGGGATTTCAAGGCAGGAGAGCTAGTTCTTCTATTCAATTCTCGCTTGAAACTCTTTCCTGGCAAGCTCAAATCTCGGTGGTCTGGACCATTTGTAATTTGTAAGGTGTTCCCTTATGGTGCAGTGGAGTTAGTAAGCATGGATGGGTCTACCTTTCAGGCAAATGGACAACGCCTCAAGCATTACTATGGAGAAGAAAATAGGGATGTGGAAGAAATTAACCTTGATAAACCAACTTAACACCACGTTCACGTCCAACCATAGACGTAAAAGAAGCGCTTATTGGTAGGCAACTTAAGTTCTATTCCTTAAGTTTCTTTTCATTATTTTGACATGTTCTTTTCTTCTCAGGCCAATTTGGTAAGTTCGTTTTCTTTTTATTTTGTAGGGTCATGCTCAAAATGGTTGCATCAACACTCTAATCAATATGGGAAGGGAGTAGGTAGGAGGTAAACGTAATAAAAAAACAAATTGTTTACCTCCTTTTCAGAGTAGTTGGCACCGTGGCATCCATATTTGGCGCTGCAGCGCCAACTCTCTTTAAAAAAATAAAATAATAATAATAATAATAATAATTTTTAGTAACACTGGCATCGTGGCGCTAGACCTGGGCGCCTAACCCTTTTTAAAAAACATCATCATACGTTTTTTTTTTTTTTTTCATTTCCCTACCCCCAAACCCTTTTATTCTTCTCTTCTCTCAATTCTCCCCCTCTTCCTCCCCACACTTGCACACACCAAATTCTCTCATACTACCCCACATTTATACATTTTCACATCTATAACAACCCATATCTTAGAAATGAAAGGCTAGTGACTAGTTCTTCAAAGAAGGTACATTCTTTTACAATGCAATTTTCTTTTTTTTGGTTTAATTCGAACTTCTAATGGTAATCTTGTTTAGGACTATGTCACAATATTATTTTTCTTTGTTGGATTGTGTTTTGGGAAAGCTTGTGTGGGCTTTTGTGTTATCTTCGAAATTATTTTGTTGTATACCCACCATGTGCTTTTTCTTCTTCCTCTTTGACATTCTTTGCTAATGTTGGAATCTATGTTAGAAGACTTTGCAATTTTCTATGGGCTTGAATTTTCTTAACTACTAATTTATTGTCTTGCCCACAAAGTGTTTGATAAATTTCACCAAAGACTCCTTTTGTATTATTCTTGGGTTATTTTTGATGGCTTGCATTTGGCTTTGTACTTGTTTATTCTAGCCGCCTGCCTCATGTTCGATACTTTGTTTCATTAAGATTTTCGTGCTTACTTGGGACATACTTCATTTTCTAAGACAAAATCCTTTAATTGATTCAGGTGGACGGTTAACTTCATTTGATATTGTGAAAGAACACTTACTCCATGCCTCCTAAAAAGAAATCCAAGGTCATTGCCTCTTCCTCTACTATAGCGTTTGATCGTCGACGATTCATTAGTTTCGAAGCAGAGGAACGCTATAGGCACAGTGTGGTACATCGAAATTGCATTCCTGAGAGGGGCCTTGATAATTTTTTACCAAATAAAATTCACAGTTTGGGATGGGAGAAGTTTACTAAGCAACCTAGTGCTGCATCCATTCCTTTGGTGAAAGAGTTCTATGCCAACACCAATGAACATGAGAACTTCAAGGATTTTGTACGGGGTTTTTGGATCAAGTTTGATAGTGCCTCAATTAACTGGTTCTACCACACGCGAGATATACCCAATGATGACTATTCTCGACTCCGGGATGAGGGGGTTGATCCCGGGGAGATAATTTTCACTATAGCTCGCCTCGATACTGAATGGAAAAGATCAGCTAGTGATGTAACCCACTTCCCTTCATCTGGTCTGATACCTAACTGTAAAATCTGGCACCACTTCATATCATCCAAACTGATCCCTAGTAGCAACACCAGCGAGGTCACAAAGGAACGGGCCTTATTGAATTTTGTGATTCAAAAAGGATATTCTATTGATGTTGGCCGAGTCATTCAAAATAGCATTCTTTGCATCCTTGTCGGGCTCGCAACAAGCAGTCTGGGTCACCCCTCTTTAACCTATGACCTTTTCATACACGGGGGTGTTCCCATGCGTGAAACTGATGAAGTATTACACCCAAAACAGCCACTTACATGGGACCTCCATGATAGGCGTGTGGGACATCAGGAAGTGCCTAGCTCTTCTTAGTCATCTCGTCCGTTACCTCGTACACCACCGCCTCTACAACCTTCTGATGCTACGGGGGACATCATTCGGCGTCTTGAAGCCATGGATTTGCGCATGACCCGATGGCAGGATGGCATACAAGTACAAATGATTCATCTACAATCCACCATCTTTGACCAATTTCAATACCAGAACACTTGCATGGCGGTCATGGCATTCGCCCATCTCGAGCTCACCTTTCTTCCACCGCCATCACTTCCACCTCATTCCCACCCTCTTGCTCCACTTGATGAAGAGAAAGACAATTGATGTCTTC